CTCATTACATTCAATGTAGCTTTATGTTTACATTAATATGTATATTTATAATACTTAAAGGCAACATAAAGCAGAAAAGGAGGAGGAGATAATTTAGGCTGTACAAGGATAGGAGAAAGGAGGAGAGACATGCTCATGTATTGGAAGAAAAGCTCGTGCCGTCATTTTAGATCTGCCTTTAGGCAATTTTAACTTATATGACTAGTATTTGCCATGCAGTTCCGTACTTCTCCTGACCCTAGCAACAGTATGGAAGTCAGATAGCCATCCAAGTGCAATGCTAAAGGCACAAACAACAGTTTGTTTTTTTTTTTCTTTCTGTCCATCTGTGGGTTTTTCCTTTATTCTATGTGTTTATAGGGCATATGACAACAAATTCAATTGCATTATTTGCCATAGATCAAGGTAATGGAGCAAGGAATTTAACATAATTCTTCATATGCAATTAAACTATCCATTTCATGATTCCTTGTCCAAAAAACAGCTAGTGGCTGGATATATTTGGTCTGCTTTTATTTGGAGTGGCAGATGATCATTCTCTGCCGTACCAGAACACTAGGATCAACACTTTGCCCTGGTTGGATTTTTGCAGTATGTGGGCTGGCGTAGGCTCAGGCAGGCTAAAATCTTTTGATTTGTGGATAATCTTGTGTCATCCGGTTGAGGCTTGAATGTTCCCTTCTCATTTGAAAAATGTTAATGTAGAGCCTCCTGAGAAAGAAGCACTCCTAAGAATTCGGCTTGTATTAAAACTGATGCTTGCCATTTCTACACAAACAAAAGCCATTAATGGTGGCCAGGATTGGGGAAACAAAGTTCCTCTGTTTATGAAAAGATCTCTCCCCGCCTCCAAATCTTTAAGTTCTGTTCTGTTCTGCAACTTTATCACTATTCAAACTATGCAAGAGACAAAGGCTTGTAGCTTTTTTCTTTTTTTGCCCTTCCAGCCCCCCCCCCCCCCACAAAGACATGTTAGGGTTGCAGCACTGGAACATGCTACACTACTGGTGTCTAGGCATGTAGAGTGGAGGATTTATGGAAGAGAAAATAGAATAGAGCCTTAAAAGTTTGGCTTTAAAAAATGGAGCCAGTAGTTTGACAGATTGTTCAGTAAATGTTCATTTTATTGAGAATTATAAAAAAGGTGCTTAACGCCTCTGTGCCATTAATATAATGCATTAAAAGGTTACTGTCAAGATTAGTGTTTCAGCTCTGAAAATTGACTGTAAGGTTTATGGGCAACACTGTTCATATTCTACTTGGAAGATGAGGTATCTTCTGCTTAATACTTGACAAAACCATTATGTTGCTACAAGGCTTTATACTGAAAAACTTGGTAAATAGGAAAACATAACTTAAAATCTCATTTGAAAAGCAGGAGAATAGCTCCTGTCTGTCTTACAGCCAGATTTAGCAGATGCGGGTTTGAATGTAAAACAGTTGTGAAAATAGCCAGTGTCACACTAGTGCAAAATTAAACTTGTGGGGTGTTCTGTTTTCAGTGTCTGTTATTGTTGAAGTATTCAATTTCAAAAGCATGCATTCCTTCCTACAGAAAAAAAAATCAGATTCCTTAGTTGAAATTAATTAGCATTCAGAATTCAGATAGCATGTTTTTGGGTATTCATGAGATCTCTGTTTGAAAAAATGTTTTTAACTTGTAGAAATGTGTTGCAACACACAGATGGGAAGAAAAAGAAAAAAAAAATCTCTTTAGTAAGCACTGTGTGTAAAAGGAATATTACATTTTGCACGATCCTGATTACCCTGTGTAAACAGTTTTTGACATCTGTCTTTATAGTTTTCGAGAAGAGGAAGACTTTGTTAAAAGAACCATTTTTATACAGCAGTCACCATTTCAGTCTTGCTTTACCTGTATTATGAAAGCAGATGGTCTGCATGTCTTTTGAATATTTATAACTATCAAAAACAATCTCTTGCTATTCACCCTTAGGCTTATGAGATGTCAGGACTGTTCTGGTTGAAAAAAAATCATCTTGGGTGTTTACAGAAAGAGGATTACATTAAGCTGAAATGACTATACATTTTCCAGTTTAATATTTGTCCATCAGCTGTTTAATCGTATTTAGATAATTGTGTAAATAAGTTGTTGCAGCCCTTGCCCCTTCCACTGAGCAGGCTTAAAGCTTTAAACACCGATGAATGAGTTGCAAAAAAGCTTGGATTTTTTTTTTTTTCCTAGCTAAAAAACCTGGAAGGCCCAAATAAGTTTTGGTTACAATGCTCCTTTTGAGGGAAGTGTTTCATTTGCAAAGGAATCCCCGATATCTAATTCAGCCGAGTTGTTTTAGGAAGCTGCTGTGTCTGTTACTGTCTGCTAAGTCTGTTAGCATGTATTTGTTCTGTGTAAATACTGCAGCCCAACTACCCCTTCATGAGGCATCAAAACAACCTCATTCTGCCCATATAAAAATAATTTTAAGGTTATTTAGGGGAAGTTTTGGGACTGTGGGGGTTAAAAGCTTTTTTGACTGGAAGCTGAGCAATCACTGATAACAGATTTTGCTGTGGTTGGTTGATTTGGCAGAAAAGCATGAACAGTTTTGGTTTAGATGATTGAATTAACCTGATTAACGTTGTTTTTGTTGTTTTGCAAAAAGGACAACAGTATACTTTTAGCGATGATCGAACAATACTTCACCTGGTTGGAGAGCAGTGTGAGAAGCAATGACTCAGAAATGCCTCCCTTGTAGCACCGGCAGCAGTGGCCCCCCAGCCGGCACGAAAGGCTCAGGTCCTGCCCGCGTCTTACAGGATGCACCTTGCATTAGATTCTGGCACAATACGGAAGGTGCCTGATGCTACTGTTTTATTGGGTTTTATTTGATGGGCATATGAAAAGAGTTGTGGTTGAGATTTAAGATATTTCCCCAGGGGGTTCCCCAACTTCTTTGAGAAATTATGATGTCTGGTTTTCAAATCTCTGGTATTTAATCTTCCTGAGAGAATGGGAATTGGTTCAAGCTATGCTGAGTGAACCTCAGCTGAACTTCAGAATGAATTTGACTCCTACCTCCACAGAGTTGCTGGATGCCTAATTATAATTAACTTTTTTGGTTTAAAAAAAAAAAAAAAAGAGAGTACTCGGGCTGCAGCAGATGGTATCATTCCAGAATAGTGGGATTTCTGTGAAGGTGGCACCATCTCAGATGAGATCTCCTGATTCTCCAAACAGGACTGAGAGTGATGTGATTGAGGGGGGAGGGATGGAGAGAGGGGAAAGAGGGAAATTTGGGATCTTGAAGTCTCATAACTTACTTTTGAGGATAAACTTCTAGGAAATAGTTAAGACTGCAGATCTGTAACCAGTTTTTTTTTGTTCTATCAATTTTCCTTGTGAAGTGTGAAAAAGAAATCAGATTAGGAATGATGAATGTGATGCGTTTGAATATTTGGATGATATATTTATATTTGTCATCCTTGTACCTGGAAGGTATCTACCTCAGTGCCTCACAGATAAGGAAAGCCTATGTACAGTAGTACCTGAATATGATGTACTTCAAATCCAATCATTTTCATTTTGATTATTGATAAGTATAAGCCAAACCTGTGTAATGACCTGGGAAATAAAAAAAACTTCAATATGCCTCCAGTCTAGATTGTGGCTCTCTGAAGACTGCTAACTCATGGGGTTAATCTTCAGTTTTAGGCCCTAAGCATAGTGAGCATTTGTATATGTAGATTGCCATTAAAACATATAGGAATTCTACAGCAATAGGAATTATATAGGAATTTCTATAGCAAAGTGCGCCTCTCTGCACTGATGTGACTGCAGGTTTGATGACAACACAATAAATAAAGCATAGAAACAATGAAATTCAATGTTGTCAAGTTATTTTCTTGAGTTAACAAGGTAGTAATATTTTATCTGGCTTGTAAAATTTTGCCTTCAGTGAATTAGTAAATAAATCATTGATTCCTCCTGATGAGGATTCTTAGTGTAGGTAATATCACTTGAATGCTTGCATGAAGTGTTCTCAAAGAAAAAGCAGGATAATTTTCATTTTAAAATGTGTTGATAATATCTGTGGTGGTTTTTTTTTTTCCCTCTACTTTGAAGAGCTAGAGTAAAATCCCCATATTAGCCATCAGAGCCTGAAATTCACATTGTGTCACAGAAGCTAAAATTCCTAGCAGTGTTATTTAAACAGACCAGTCCCCTATTTGGTTGTAAAATAAAGTAACTGCATTAAATTTATTCCTGAAGAGGCAGGGTATGTCACAAACTGCCATGTCATTGGCATATCTTCATTGTAAAATGATATGGAGGGGAAGACTAGGAAATCCTAGACAGATATCTTAATCAATAATAGTTAATTTACTAAAATTGTTATTAATATATATGTTTTCATACTAACTACAGTTATTGGGGAAGAAGAAGACATCTGAAGGGGGCAAAGTAAAATGAGAGGAAACCACCTTGAAGTCTAAATGACATCCACAAAATATGCACAAGCTAATACGGGATGATAACCCATTACATGTGCAGTTCCCTATTCTGCACATGCAGATCTGCAGGTTTTGTATGTACATTAACTGTGCATTCATATAATTTACCAGTTCAGATACAAAGGACTTTTTAAATCATGCCTTATGTATCATATGCCCATGTTTAAAATGGTTTAATCTATAAAAGAGCTTAAACAATAATTTTGTAAGTATTAGACATTAATGATACTGCTATTATATTGGAAATTGAAATTGGGTTCAGCTGAGCTTGGTTCAGGTCATGCAGGCTAGGGTTGCAGTAGTCTATTAAGATTTAATTCTCCTTTTATACCACTGACAAAAGGCTTCTAGCTAATTTCAGAAATGCCAGATTAATATCAAGGAATGGTAAGAATTTTGGTGATTCAGAGAAACATTAAAATAGCTGCCTGGTGAGTAGAGGGTATCCATATTTGGCATAAATAATACTGCCTCACTCTAGCAGTTCTAAGCCTCCACAAATAGCATGTTACTGAGTAATACATTAGAAAATGGTTATAATGAACTTCACGAAGATCAATAATCAAGGTACTTTTACTCAGAAGCTGAACTAACCTTATAAAATAAGACTTATAGTAATATTTGTTGCATTTTTACTCCAAACTCTTTCTTTCGGTGGTTATTGCAGTTTGTATACAAAGGGTTGATACTGTACATCGATTTTAAGACAGCACAAATACGGCTAAATGTTACATGCTGAATAACAAACATAATAATCGGGGCTTTGTCTTCTTGACTGTTGTAGTTTTCTCAATACACTGGACAATTCCTGTAGTTAAGCTAAAAGTAACTACTTTCCACATAGAAACCTAAAGGGTAGCAAAGTTCAGTCTATTGAAATTACATTTGCTAATTTTGTTGTTCATACATCATATACTGAGTATAATTTTCAAGTTGGAGCATTATCTCATTTTGCAAGGCTTAGTCTTAATTGATTTTGTAAAAGAATGTACTGGAACTGGAAGTTTTATGCATTGTTAATTCTACTATTTTGAAATTGGTCAAAACTGAGCAGAAGGTAAATTTCTCACTGTAGCTATCTGATATCTCGAGAACCTTTGAGAAAATAATTGTTTCTATCATCCTTTGGTCTATTTTACAGCTAATATTCAGTTACAGAATTAGACATGATAATAAGAGTTTTTCATAAGCCTATTTCTGCAAAAATACCCTGTTCAGGAAGAGCAAGTCTGAGTTCGTTTTGGGTTGTTACATGCATATTCTACTGTAAACCCCCTACTAATAGGTCATTCAGATAAACTTTCATCCTACAATTTTCTAGGGTCTGCACTATGATAAGCGGCACAAAGGGAACGGGCATGGGTAACCTGGGGCATTGCTGGCATTTTTGGAGTCAGTGTTAGGATTTGTGTGCCTGTAAACTTGTGAAGGGTCAATCAAATTTAAAAGCAGAAGTAGTACAAACAAAATGCACTTTCAAGATTAGCATCTTCCATCCAGATCCCATCCCATTTCCTGATGTTTCTTGGTCGATAACTTTGTTCTTCCCTTAAGTACATCTACTTTTTTTGCTCCCATTTACAATATACCTTGGTTTGTTTTTGTGCTCGATTAATGAGTTTTTTAAAAGGCTTTGGACAATGGGATTAAAAATGCAATGTGTTTCTCAAACTCTAAAAATATAATGGTTTCAACAATTGAAATAATTTGTGCTTTGACGTGTACTGCTCTGTATTACAGATATTTTCTTTTCTTTTCCCCTTTTCACACAGAGTATGATTTCTTCCATTGTGAACAGCACTTACTATGCAAATGTTTCAGCAGCAAAATGTCAGGAATTTGGAAGGTGGTATAAACATTTCAAGAAGGCAAAAGATATGATGGGTAAGCAAAAAAAAAAAAAAAAAAAAAATTGCCCTGATGGTGGATACATACTATTATGTGTCACGTTGAGGTCTGTCACAGTCATATAAGAAGCCAGGTCCCTTCATGATAAGTTTAGGATGCTTTTGATGAGTAGATGTAGAAAGTACATATATAGTGAAAGAATTAATTTAAATAAATACTTGCTATCAAAACAGCCAAACTGACTTGGGTTGCCAGAGATGTAAAGCTGTCATTCTGTAAATCTAGAGATCTTCTACTGCCCAGAATAATTGTTTAAAAAACCTGTTCATGGAAGTGTGACGAACTGATTTTTTTTAATGTATTTTTTTCTTGCTCTGGCTAACGTATATTTAAAGAAACAAGCTTCTATGACTAGCACTGCCTTCCAACAAGAATGCTTTGATTTTATAAATTCATATCTGTCTCTAACTTTAGGACTCTGATTTCAATTATTTTAACAAATAGTTGTTGTGACAATTGTTTTGCTTGTTGTAGTAAGCATAAGTAAATTACTAGAGAAAAAAATCCATCAGTGGGACCTATTAATTCTGAAATACCTTTTATCTTTCTGTATTGTCCCTTTTAAAACTATTTCTTAAACCTGTTAACATAATTTTGAACACTTTATATCAGAAAATAGTAGTTTTCAACAGAATAATGAAATGGGACCTCAATTTGGATTGAATTTTGAGCTTCACTTAGCTTTCAGTATTGGAAGCAAAATCATTCATCTACCAAAACGGGTTCCTTGCCTTTTATAGTTCAAGGCTGTAATGAAGACAATGCATCACTTTTGTGATAATTGCTTGAATTACTATTCCAAGTGAATGGCCCACTTGGGCTGATCTCTACTTTCTGCTAGTGAAAAAGGTGGCTTCTTTCCTTTATCTACTTTGTACCTTCTGTGCAACACTGAACCCTTCTTCAGAGACCACTGAAGTTGGTGCTTAAGACTTGGTTTCAGGTGGTCCATGTGTGAGTCAGCAGAGCACCAGCATGGGGGTTGACCTTTCTGCAGCATCCTCTCCCACCTTCATTGCTGCAGCTCTCCTGCATGGGGCAACCCCTGCAGAATTTGCCTTAGTGATTTGCCAAGACAGGTCTACCATCCATCCATTCGTTTGGGGACAATGAAACACATGCATAGGAAATGGGTGTGTGTTCCTGTGTAACCCAATGCTGGGGGGAGAGGCTGTGCTGCCTCCAAAGCGCATGGATGAGGAGCAGTGGATGCTCTGCTGGGGGACTGATCTGGGCTGTGGACACCAGACAGAACAACCACACAGAAAAACCCACTTTCTCTTTTTTTCTTTTCTTTTCTTTTTTTTTTTTTTTTTTTAATATTTCTACCTGTGATAGGTCAGCGGGGAAAGGCAGGGCTGTGGGTGGGAATCCAGGTGATGGTTCTTCTTCCAGCTCTCACCCCAGTGGAGGAGAGGGTGGTCTTGCACTGAAAGACTGTTGCTGAAGATCATAATTACTACGAAAAGCTCAGACACTGCCTTTTTTAAAAAAGAAAAAAAAAAAAGCTTTCCTAGTATAAGAAAAAAATTACTACAACACTTTTGTGATGATACTGGAGTTTTGTTTTTTAAATAAAGCCTATTTTCTTAAAGCTATTTCCAAACCAGCATTGCTAAAGCTCTAGCACAGATTGTTTAAAATGAAAAAGTGGCATACATTGATAAAAAGGAGACTCCTTTACATCAGCCTGGAGTTATTTTATATTCTCTGATCGTGCACAAGAGGGGAGCTGGAAGAACTCTTGTAGTTTAAAAACGGTGTTGTTAATTAAAAAGGAGGGTGTGTCAAGGCAGATGAGTTAATATAAGAAAAAAAAAATCAACCATGTTGCAAGTCACTGAAAAAAAAAATGCATACATGGTTTCGAGATAAAGCAGCCCATCTGTGTAATTTACATAAATTATACTAGTTCCTAGCAGTCCTGTGCAATTGATGCAGGATCTAGAAATTAGCAGAGCATGGAGAGGTCCACACCCCACCCAGCTTGTTACAGATTTCCAGTGGCTCGGAACTGCAGATGTGGTGGTGGGGACACCACGGATGAACAAAACCGGTCACCAGGGGCTTCTCTCTCTGGTCAGGGTGTGCTTTCCCGTGACAGCCCTCCTTATCCTTTGCACAGGGGCACTTACCATTTCACCCGCATCTTCTGCAGCCCGCAGAGTGGTCTCCCCTCTCTTGTCTTTGCCCATCTCCAGTTGTTTGCTGCCTTGTCTGAAGTCCTCTGGCTCCATCACTGCAGGGAAGTGCTCTGTGGCCACGTGCTCGTGGCTCCGTTGTATTGCACCTTTGCAGAACTCTCAGGAAATTACTCCTTTGCCTTATGTGGTTTCCAGCAGCTGGTTTCGCCTCTGATCTGCTGGTTCCTCCAAGGGCCCAGTGATGATGATGGGTAGTTTGTTGGATGTTTTTTTAAAAAATATTAACTGCAGCATTATTTGTAGGTAAATTTTGAAGGCAAACAGCCACAGCAGTGATGTTATGGGCCTGCTGATCTAGGTTGGAGGGTACAGTAATGCTTGAACATGAATGCACCATCTTATATTTATTTTTGTTAGCGCTTCTTGCAAGGAGTGTAAAGTTCATGATTTTCAGTCTTATGCTGGCTTTTTCAATGTTTCTTTTCCACCGTAGTTGAGATGGATAGCCTTTCTGAACTATCCCAGCAAGGTGCCAACCATGTCAACTTCGGTCAGCAGCCGGTCCCAGGGAACACAGCCGAACAGCCTCCATCCCCTGTTCAGCTTTCTCATGGTAGTCAACCATCAGTTCGGACCCCGCTTCCAAACCTGCACCCTGGACTTGTATCTACTCCCATTAGCCCTCAGCTGGTAAATCAGCAACTGGTAATGGCCCAGTTGCTGAACCAGCAGTATGCAGTGAACAGACTTCTAGCCCAGCAGTCCTTAAACCAACAGTACTTGAACCACCCTCCTCCTGTCAGTAGATCCATGAACAAGCCGTTGGAGCAGCAGGTCTCAACAAACACAGAGGTGTCTTCCGAAATCTACCAGTGGGTCCGTGATGAACTGAAACGAGCAGGAATCTCCCAGGCAGTATTTGCACGTGTGGCTTTTAACCGAACTCAGGTCAGTTGTCTTTTTTCTTATTTATTTTAAATCTTGAGTCCCTTCTTTCTCTCTATTTAGTAATTATCACCTTTTAAGTCTCTCTCCTCATTTCTGCCTTGTCGCTTAGCTCCCGTGAAGGGACTACCCTTCCTTGCAGGACCAGTGTTGGTACGATACATAAATCTTCAGTGCCTGGTTTGTGGCAATACCCACTGTTCTTACAGACACCTTGGTTCCTCTCCAGTTGTGATGGTTTGTGAATACCTTAACCTTAATATTCCCTGGAAAGGACATGAACAGCTCTGTGCAGAAACATTCACAGAGTCACCTGGAAGACTGCCTTTTGTGTTGCAAAGGTGTACCTGTACTGACTCCATGCATGGACTGAACAACGTGTCTTCTTTCACAGATGTACCTGAGTTGGTCTTTTATTCTTGTTTGTGTTTATTTTTATAATTTTCTAATTAAAGTCTTAATAAAATCTTTTCAGGCTTCTGAAAAGATTAAAAAATAAAAGCTTTATTTTTAGATCAACTACTTTTTCAGTATTTTTGCACTTTGTTGCAAAAACAGTAGTTGCTATGATTGCCAGTGTCCACGTCAGAACATATACTTCAGCTCTTCAATGCAGAAAAAACTAGCCCTAGCAAAGCTGATAAGTAACACTAAAATGTGTTATTTTTTACACCTGTTGTAGAAGCTAACCCTGTTATAATTTATTCTGCTCTATGAATTTAACTTAATGCCATGTTGCATGGAATTTAATCAAGCAGAAATTATGGAAGAAATGTCAGTATATCTAATGCAAATAAGAAGATCTCAAAATTTTAGAAATCTGTTTTAACAGAAAATAAAATACAAAATTTTTTAAAAAGAAATATTTTAAAAGACAAAGGTAAATTTACTTTGGGTTCCACATTTTTAAACTTAAGGAACAATTATTTGTCCATTCTAGAATATAGTAAAAAAAATAATAATTTTAACTTCTCATGAAATGTTGATGTTTATCCCTGCATAGCTTGGAGAAAAAAAATTCTGTTTCAGGTGCACTGGTACCAGATTTGAATCAGCATGTCATTGTAATTGTTCTGAATTATTATTGCCTTAAAAATTTTTACATCCTCCTTTAACTAAAAGAGAGTAGAGTCATGGTGTAAATTCTCTGTAGAGCTCTGTGTGTGTGTCTTTCCTCTTAACAGCAGAGGAGGTTTTCAAGATCTAGGTTTTTCATACCAAATTTCACAGAATACATGAACTCATGCAAGGATTACTTACGTAAGTTTGATTCAGACAGTGTCAGTTGTTATATTTGCAAATAAGTGACAGAGAGTTTCATTTAATACGATGTCTAATATTTTAACTATTGATACTATAAAGTATTGAAGTAATAATAGTAGTTTCATGTAACCATGAGTTGCAGCTGCCATCTTACCTAGGCAAAAAAACCAAGCAAATAATTAAGAAAATAAATAGTTTATTAGCTATTTACTTCTTTCTCAGATTTGCCTAAAAGCAGCTTGCTTTCTATCAGCTTCCTCCCACCTCCAAAGTAATTTGTCAATTTTTTGTCAGCTAGTCTTGCATACAGCTTTTGGTCTCTATCAGTTGTTCAGGAGCCGTATTTGTTACCTTAAATAGAAGGACAATTGGTGCTGACTGGATGTTGCATTTATATGACACAGTATAAGAAGGTGATCTTGAGATGTGATGAGTGTGACTGTAGAACCCAATTTCTAGTGCAAATCCTAATTCCTGATTACTATTTATTTTTCTCACTACAAATTTTATTAAATATTTGTTTAAAGTTCAAGTTTTGCACAGACGTTGTGGTTAACCGGCTTGGTAAAATGTGTTCAAAGTGACCCAAATCTGGAAGGAAACCCCAAAATGAACGTTGAAAACAAGTCCCATGAAGAGATATGAAATATATATGTAATTTTTTTTGCAATTTTCAACCAAATTGCTTAAAAGAACACAGAGTAGTATTCCTATATCCTACAAATTGTGTTAGCTAGTCAAATTAGTATTTTCAGTTAACTGCATAAGATTTTGCAGTATTTGTTATGTATTGCAGCAAACATAGGAAACAGAAAGGAAAAAGACTAGGAGGAGGAGGCTAGGCAATATTAGCCTCAGTGTTTTCAAGAAATATCTCGGCATACTTTTAATATGAAACAAAGCCCCATTGAAATCCGGAGGAGTTTGTTGTAGGCACATTTCACCTTTGCAAAACTGAAATTTGTTAATTGTACCCACAGTAACAGCTAATGTCCAAGTATAAATACAGGTAGAAATACCCATGATTCTTATAAGAAAGCATTTAAATTTATTTTGCTTGCTGTACTTCGGAATTTATCTCAGGTTATTCAAGGATACATCACATTTAACTAGAATTAGGGCAGCACTTTAATAAACTGATGATATTTAGATGTTATTTTCTAATATTAATGTAATATCTTTTGTCTTTTTTTTTTTTTTTTGCCTAGAGCAAGTGAAAATGCTTGTTTAAATTCATCTGCTGTTTTCTGAGATAAAAAGCTAACTCAGGCTTACTACTGACATTTTTGAAACTGTCATAAGCATATTTGAGCCGTGTCCAGGGACCATATCATGCCACTGGTTTCTGACGGCAGAAGAGCTCACTGAAATTGGTTAGGAGTTCTGTGCAAAAAACCCCTGGTGTCGAGATATGGTCTCAGATGAGGGAGAGATTTGCTTTCAGTGTAAAAGTTAAGGAAGGAAGTGAACTATAAAATAAGAGCAATTTCAAATAGGCTTTGGTGGAATTGACTGAAGGAGATAGCACCTCTTGCTTTACCAACTTGTGCTCAGCAATATGAATACAGAATTTGGTGGGGATTTTGGGTGGGAAGGGGAGATTCTACCAGCTTAGTTTGTAATTCAATACTTGGCTCTAATTTTCAAGAATTTTTGATTTGGGGGCAAAAATGTTAAGTAGAAATATTTCTCCTTCCTAACCCAAAGGAAATAATTTGGCAAAATTACTTCTAAAAACTAAGGTGTCTTTTTTTTTTCCATTATCATTTATTTATAAGGCAGAAAAAACCCCTCAGCCACACCTAAGAGAATTGAAAGGATGTCCTTAATCTCTTCTTGGATAACTTCCCCCCTACCCTTAACTTCAAAATGGTAGTTTCAAAAAATGTGTAGTTCACGGGAATGTACCTTGCAAAGTTTAATCAAAGAGGAGTCCAGAAAGCTATAACTTGAATGAAAATTAGTGTCTATATAGGCACAATAGAACAATTGTTGTAGGGGGCAGAAGTGGTTTTGGAGGGTGGAGCACCCCTCCCCAAGAGGAATTTCACAGTAGTCCTTCTAGGAAGGCGTCAGAGCGCAGTGTGGTCTGAAGTGTTATTTGTCCTTCAGCAGTTGCGATTCCAGCTGACTGACTGCAAAGAAACAGATTGAATCCTGTTAGTACCTCTTTGTAGTGCACCATGGAAAAGTTTGTTGAGTCAGGATTTGTGCTAGCAGATCCAAGTTTTACCTCAAGCATGGCTACCGAATGTGTTTCCCAGTCTCTCTGTTTGCTAGGGTAATTTTGGTGAATTGAGCTGCTTATGTTTCAGTTGCCGTTTGATCGAATTAATAAACGTGATATTTTTTCCAGCTGGTGTCATTGCACTGTACAAACACCTCCGCTCTCTTGAAAGAGCAAGTTCAGTTTTTCCTGCGCTTTTCTGGTCAGAAAATGGCATTTGTGATCAGCTCGCTGGCCCGGCGGGCACCGAGCAGCCATGGGGGGACGGCGCTGATGCACTGGGACAGTCTCCCAAAGTGCCTCTGCTGCTGGGAGGCTCTGTACTCTGTTTTGTTCTTCTTGAGAGAGGTGGACCAGAGCATCAGTGTTTGTTCAGCTGAACCATCTTCGGAGCCCTAAACAAGTAAAAAAAACTCCTCTACCATTTCTGTCTTGCCTTTGTAAATGTAAATGTGAGTCAGGAAAGGGAAAGCTTGGGTTCCCACAAGCAAGTCTGACATTTGACTTGAAGGCGTAGCGTAACCTGGTGCATGGCAGGGTGACACGTACGTACTGCACGAGCAAGGAGTTGTGTTAGTCATGGTTGTGGTTGGAACCGTGACTCGGGTCTGCCTCTCTCTGTTTGTGTACACTTGCAGCTGTAACATTTGCTGCATGAACTTGGGTGCTGCTGTGTGGAGGTGACCTCTCGGCTCTATCTTTGTCGTGCTTTTTGCGACTTTTGCCATGTTTGACTATTGTAATTTTTCTTCTTCCCACCAATGACAGTTTTTAATCTCAAGGTTTTTGAGTACTTCTCAGTGTTTCTGCCAGATACCTTTTCTCTCCCCCTCCTTTCTACTTCACCCCCATGCTTGTTTAAAATGTTAACTGCCAGGATACATTGCCTTTGGTTCACGTATAATGCCTTTTCTCGTATGTGAAAACTTCTGTGTATTTAGGACTGTGCTCATGCTAATTCTGGGCAATTGCTATTTCAAGGGAGAACACTTGGATGCAGTAAATGGCTCTGTGTAATTTTAAAACAAAATCTAAGTTTACACAAACCACCTTCACAGGCACTTTTTTTTCCTTTCCACTTTGTCTTTGGCACACTTTATTTTCCAGTAAAATGAAAAATGAAGATGGATTATTCAAAATTGATAACAGTAATGGACCATCATGTGATGTTTTATTGAATTTGAGTTCTGTAAATTATGTGGTAGAGAGAAATTTGCCTGCTTAAGTATAACAGAAATTGCCACTGTATTCATATAATTCTTCGTAGTGTAATTTAAGAAAAAGCACACTATCCATATCACTACTGAATAAAAGGTAAAAAGGTGCTATTACACTATCATGACAGCTCTCCTTTTGCTGCTAAGCGACATAGATAAATGTTTCTCCTTATAACTTACTTGGCAACGATCCAGGCTTGTGGGTGGAGCTTGCAAATCATCTTCCACCTGGACATGGGATGGGAGTATCCTGCAACGGAGAGGGATAGCGTTCAGGGATGTTCTGCGTGTTTTGGGGAGGTTTGGGCAAATTGCATTTTTCTTCTGGGAGCTTTGAAGTTCTATCAGGCTGATAAAATCTATTTGAATCAGTGATTATGTTCAAAGAGGAGACAAACTGGGGGCCAGACAGGCAGTGTTTTTGTTCATATTGGCAGACGCTTTCGTTTATCTCAATTTTTAAAGAATTCATAATTAGCTTTTGAAAGCCATAATATTTATTGAACATTTTTGTGCAATTAGTAATGAATTATACTTGTGATGACACGTAAACTTTCTTTTTTTCAATGGAACCTGGTAACATTTTAAGAAAATAACATTTCCAGTGCAAAAAGAATACAAGAGAGGAACAGTGAGGAGGACTGTGAGTCTGGCATTGCTTATAAACTCTATGCAAAACAGCATTTAGCTTTATTGCAGCCTGAGGTACAATATCAGGAGATGACACCAAGACTTGGATTTTGGTGAACCAGTTCAAGCCTGGTAAAATGGAACAGGAAATCTCTGCATATCAGCATGGGGCAGGATGTGAGAGCTAGTGTTTTCTTTCTAGGATTTTCCCATTTTACATCTTGCCTAACAGTCTTAAGCTGAAGTTTTGTGCCCAGAAAATTGAAGCAGTGGAAATGAAGTAATATTTGAAGCAAGCAAACTATTGTAAGACTTTGCCTACACCCGATACTACACCTTATTATTCATGTTATTTCCTCACATATTCTAACCTTTAGGTCGAAGCTCCTAGAAACAAACACCTCCTCCTTGCCTTCTCCTCGCTCTCTCATCTCCCATCTTCTCTCTTCATCTGTGTCCTCTGCTCTGCTCCCAGCTCATGCAAAGAGTCATGGCAGTGATGAGGGAAGGAGAGGAGAATGAATACTTAATGGCATTTCTGATCACCAAGAGGTGTCCTGCAACAATGGCTATACTGACAAACGCAGGAAAAATACATAAAACAATTTTCTTTGTTTACTTATTTCACTGAGGGAGGAAGAGTTGTACAAGAAAAATGGCCTTTTCTGTTTTTTCTAGCTGCCCACTATGTGGCAAAGGCTTATATGAGCAAATATTTTTATTATGGGCTTAAGTATTTTTCAAGGACGTTTCCTGTGGCTGACAGTAGGCTGGCTGTTAGGAAGGAGTCTCCTCTCCTGACAGTGATCAAGTCCACTTGAGTTTAATTTTTCTTTCTTCTTTTTAATCGTGGTGTGGTTGTTTTCAGTACAGTAGCAGTCAGAAATCCCATGTGTTTACACCTGAACATTTATTCTGTGCTCTGTAGACTGCTTTGACTTGTCTCCAGGCACAAAATAATTTTTTACCTCTCTTGGAGGGTGGTCATGTAACCTACCACTGACAAACAATGGTAACTGTGGGTTTTGAGTACTTAAAAGTAGAAGAAATGGTAGACAAGAATTTAATTTCCGTATTTGCTAATAAGTAAATTTATTATTAGACTAATCGTTAAGAAATTTTTTTAAACTTATATTCCACCCAAATGCTACTTCTGTCTGTAACTCATTCATTTACTTTCTGCGTAGTTTCTGCTTAGATACCAGAAAAGAGGAGGGATGAAGAACATGATAACAAAGTATCCCCCAGGATTATTATATTTTTAATCCTCCTCCAAATTATTTTTTGTGCCTAGCTCTGGAGAGACTGCTTGTATTTTCCATCCCATTTGCCTCTTACATGTGCAGGCACAGACAGGGCCATGAGGACCTTCTGGCCCTGGTGTAGTGGTTAGCACCTCCGTCCTTATCGCCCCCAAGAGATGGAGGGGCGACAGGGTAAATGCAGTGCTCAGAGCCGCACTGGGTGGGCTCTCGTCAAGCACAACTGCCCAAGAGCAGTGGCTTTGCAGCAGCACTTTTGTAAGGGGCTTTTGTCTGATAGGATAGGACTTTTGAGAGAGGTGACACCTTCCATAGGTGCTGTGAGCATCAGACTTCCCTATAGAGAAGGCTGATGCTTGGTAGCTTTCTGCTGCACTCGCTTAGGAATGGATATTTTCAGTCAGGATTGCCTCTCTTTGTGAGTTTTATCTTTTTTATTGCCTGCCTCCCTCCTTCCATTCACCCCTCCATTGTCCCAAATAACTTAGAACTGTCCTCTAGGAGAAGAAACACTGGGTTGTGTTATTTCTTTAAAATCACGTCTGTGTTCCCTTGTTACACAAGCAATAAAAGCCTCTCATACCAACCCTCTCCTTGTCCCAGCATGGCAACAGCATTTATTCTGAAGAGAAGTTCACGTTTGCTTTTGCAGAAGTTAGTTTTCTGATCACCACCTTGTTACTTCAAGACAGTAGAGCATTTTGTATGCCTGACATATTTAAAAGGAGAATTTGACAGGGGGGAGATTTCAAGAACCTGTTGACATTAAAGTTGTAGTTGCACTCACAGGTGCATAAATATTTCATCTTTTAGAGTAATAAGGTGTCCCAGACTGCCAGGCCTGCTCCATTGCTGAGAATGGAGATGAAATGATTACGTGGGAAACCTGCTGTGTTCTGTACAAGCTTCTGGCGACACGCTATCATCTGCAGCCTGCCCATCTCTCACTCACTGCTGTGGATGCCCTGTGTGCTGTTTCCTCTCATTCCCCAGTTCTCACTTTATCTGTCATTGCTGGACACTGAAAGTGGTCCAAGGACAGCAGTGGTAAATGGATGTAGGAAACGGGACCTGCACAGCAGGTGCTCAAATACATAGCCCAGGTGAGGATTGGGGTGTCCTGGTGAGGAGAGGGGAATGGTGGGAGGAGGAGGAAGGTGAGGAAAGGGAGAGCATCCAGCAGTGAGTTTCCTGAATTGTTAAACTCCAATATAAAACTCCTGAAACAAAATATTGACTAATAGAAAATATGGACCTCAATCAGCTAAGCAGTACTTTAGGAATGTTGGGTGTTTATAATCTCAGATTAGTTGTGAAATATCACTTATTTTCAAAGAGCTGTTTAAGCTGCTGGAAATGTGGAAAGCCATTTTTTAGGCTGGCTGTGTGTTTTGTCTGGGAAGCCTGAGAACACCCCAGTGTCATGCCTCTGGACTATTTCACTTATTCGTAACGTATCGTGATTGTCTGTCAACTGTGAAAGATTTCATGGCAAGTTAAGCTAGTAAAAGGAAGGAGACCTATTAGACAGATTCAGTTTATGTTGTATGTAAAACAGATGCTTAATAAAATTAAGGGGACAATTGAGGCGCTCTCCTTCCTAAAATGCCATTAATATATTCCTATGTGGAGTGAATAGTGCATTTGCTGCTCTCGTTCTCAGCCCAGAGAAAGAAGAAAGAGGACTGATGAGCACTGGCTTTGCAGAGCACGGTTTTACAGGCGCTCTCCTATGCTAACTTTCCGGCATATTTCTTTTCTTCCCTCCTTACAGGGCTTGCTCTCAGAAATCCTCCGAAAGGAAGAGGATCCCAAGACTGCCTCGCAGTCCTTACTGGTAAACCTTCGGGCTATGCAGAACTTCTTGCAGCTGCCAGAAGCTGAACGAGATCGAATTTACCAGGATGAAAGGGAAAGGAGCTTGAACGCAGCCTCTGCAATGGGCCCTGCACCTCTCATAAGCACACCGCCTAGCCGGCCTCCACAAGTAAACCACTCTCTCTGTCTTTGAGATTTGCTAGTTGCATTTTCTCACTGTCCTACCAGGTGATGCCTTTCTAAAAAAGAAGAAAGCTTTTACTGTTGCGTTTTTTGAACGCTTGTAGAATCATTATTTGCACTGCATATCACAAATTAAATGTAAGATATGTAATGGGTGATAGTAGCAGTTTATTACTACCTATTTTCTAGTTTTAAGATAAATTCTATCCATTATGACCTCTACAGATTTTTTTGTTCATTTTAGTGAGATATGAGCTTTACTGAGCCTGGAGCATGCTGGCTTTCGGCTGTTTTTTTTTTTTTTTTTTTTCCTGTAATTCTCAGGCGTTGCTTTTAATGTTAAAGCTTCAACTAGGGGTTTTGAAGGATTTGTACCACTAAACTGAGTGGGAATGAAAGCAGATATATGAGTACATCACATTGCCTAAAAAATTATCTTCCAGAAAACTAACAGGTAATATTAAAGGGATGGGTGAAAGAAGACTCCATCCCAAAATAATGGGCACATTTTCACCAGGTTGAGCTACTGACAACCAAATAACATAACAGACTTGCTATATCCATCCCTCTGAAAGATTGGGAAAAGTTCATTGAAGCTTCATTTAGTATTTGTTCAAATGAAACTCCTGTTGATTTTTGTGAAATCTAGTGGGACTATTGGTTTAACTCTCCAAAACTTATGAATTTTGATAGAGTGGGATCCAGAAATTAATTGGTGTAGTCCTTGTGTCTGTCAAGGTAACTCTGATGCTGGTTTTAGAGTACATGAGAAATATAGGTGTGAGCCCTAGGAATGCATAGGATTTACACAAGAAATGTGATTGTGAATTTAACACTCCAAAAACCAGTGTACTTTTTCTGAAATACTCTGCATTGCTGTGGCTCAGGGTTGTACCCGTGCAAGGACAAAACAAACTGATCTACAGATATGTGGGAATCATGCAATATATGCAGACCAGATTTGCTATACGAAGTGGGGCTCTGGGATTGTGGGAATTTCGTGATGGCTGAGTATATAAACACAGAGCAGTTTTTTTACTAACCAGACTCAGGCATGTGCTGTGACTATATTCTGTACCCATTCTGAACACTATAAATTCCTCCAGGTTATTTTTCTAATTATCCTGCAGCTAATGGATGCTAAGGACCACACTGAAGTAACAAATAAAAAAATTGTAGGAAAAGGGTGGACAGAAGATCACTTTGACCTGCTACAGTACTTTTCACAAGAAGAGAAACAGTTTTTAGCAGAAAGAACAGATTGTGCTCATGGTCTAGTTTTGTTATCATTAACTGAGTTTAGTCTGTGAAATCCACTATAGATACTCTTCAAGATAAAAGATGAGAATCTGTTTACATAGTAATGCTTTAGTGGGCAATAGTTAAATACAGATAACTGTTTAAAATAACATTTGAGTTTGTTTTAATATCTGTACCTGCTCCCACAGCCCAGGTGATTCAGAGCAAAGGCTAACCTTCCTTCTTAACTTATCTCTCTCTGCCAAGGTAATGTCTCACTCTGTCTCAGGTGGTCTTGGGCAATTTCACAGCTAAAGAACAGAGTTAATTACAGGACCTTCCAGAAGGATATCAAGTCAGAGGTAGTCCTTGTATCAGTTTTAATTCGGACTTTAAAACTGTATAAATCCCTTGCAGCCAGAAAGTAAGTGAGATTTGGTGGTTTTCTTAACTGACAAAACATACAGTATAAATCCAAGTTGAGGGGTCAGAGTTTGGGGGAGGCTATCTGTCTGTACTGTGCTCTTGTTCATAATTACATTTCATTTTTTTAGTGGATGTCAGGAGTATAGTTAACTTAATTGCGACAGTTCAAATAGCATACGGTTTTGTTTTGATAATTTTCAAAAGGAAAACAGGTTAACAAGGAAACCTTATAGACTAATACTTGAGGTCTACAGAACAAACTAGTCATTTTTCTAGTTGTTATATCATTCTCTTTCATTCAGCAAAACAGATGTGCTTTACCTAGTGGCTGGACTGAAGATGTAGAAACCTCTGAGTTGGGATTCTGTGTGACTTTTTTACATGTTGCCGGTATTACCTAGCTATAAACACATGTAGCACTTGCCATCTGCTACTAAGTGTTCAGAGCCCTAAGTTTAAAAATTGAAATACCTGTGTTGGTAACATAAATACAGTACTTAATGCTGGAAATAATAATGAAATTATTCTTGTAGTTGCACTGGCAAGTATAACTTTACCAATCATAGCAGAAATAAATTATAGTCAGGATACTGCAAAATTATTAATACAAACTACTACTCTTGATACCCCCCAAATGTCCACAGTTTATTGAATATTTGATACTAAGGAAATAAAACTACTAACATCCTTACTACTAAATTTATTATAATTATTTAAAATTCACTATACAGGAATACAGCATAATATTTTTCTGGCTTAGCCGTGAGCTTCTTGGATAACTACTGAATGACAAAACAGACGGTTTATCCTGACAACAGAATTTACGCAAGAGCCAACATATTTAATATTAAATCTTTAGACCAGTGTAACATTTGAAACAATTAAACTATGCAACCATGAAAAATGGGAGCTAATATGCCACACATGAAGGTTTATTTTGCAATTGCAAGTTATCAGTTTAGGAAGGATGTGAAAATAAACATCCTGAAAAGGATCTATTTTGCATTTTTGTGTTGCCAACTGGTGGCCAGACAGTAGAGCAGACTTAACCATTTAGCAGCTGAGTTTTTTCTGTATGAATTTTGCATACTGTTGCATGCAAAAACAGAAAGCATGACCTTAGAGATTTGATAGGATAGTAGGAACTCACCAAGCATAAACCCTGGTACTTGAGTTAGAAGGAACCGTGTTGAATTTATCTCATTTTTACAGCATTCTTTCTAGTCGCTACTTGAGCTAATGTATCTGGATTGTTTCCAGTTCTTTTTTGAAACCCTGTAAGAAGCTCTTTGTCCCCCTTCTCCCTTTCTCTTTGACTTAAACAAAAAAGCAAAATCTTACTCTTTTTTTTTAATTTAAATAATTAGCTTCTAATGCATGAGCTTTGGGATACACGTACAGACCTCTAAGCTGGTCAAGTTGTAAAAGTCTGCTACTGTCTTCCACACTGGTGGAGTGAGCATGAGGAGAGGACTTACACATGAATTTTTCCCTCAGATGTTGTTCATCTTGCCACCTCCTGGGGCAGAAGCCTGTCTGTCAGGCTCTTTCCTGGAGCAGTGGAGTTTATAAATATTAGTATGTCTATCAGGTAGGTACTGCATGGAGACATAGTTCAACTTCTCCAACCTAGAAGGAGCTAAAAAATGCCCTTTATTGTTCTGTTTCTTTTATTAACTATTTTTTTTTCACCTCTTCAACACCTTCATCTTGCAGATCACCCTACAGAGGTCCTTTCTGGGTATCCCTAAGTCAAGCTGAGAGAATGAGTCTGTTGCATGTTATGTGGGAACGAGTGGATGTGGGGATACTTCAGGAGACACTGAGTGTGGAGCTGTGTTAGGGGTGTATTGAGTTCCTCAGGGAGGTGCTAGGGTTGGCCTTTCCCTCTCATTGAGGCAGTTCAAGGGCTGGAGGGAAGAGGACTCCCTCCTCCTTAGTGCAGCTTGAGAGAGGATGGAGACACATGACCAAGTCACAGATTTTCTTTTCCGGAATATTCTGGTTAAAGCTTGTTAGCCATCCTGCAGTTATGAACACTTCCTTCTCAGGACAAATAATCTCCATTTCAGCACAGCTGAGGAAGAAATCCCTCTCACCACCCATATTCCCCAAAGAAAATTTGTGCTAACTCTTGGGGCCCATCATCATCCTATGTAAAAACAGAGTATGTGTAACATCAAGAGCAGAATATAATTTTAACGAGACAATGTTTTAAGTATCCACAAATCTTGCATGAGTCATGGTCCTGGGTACTCAATTGACAAAAACCTTCATTTTCATAAATATAATCCTGGCCTCCCTCTGACTACAGTGAAATTACAGTTCCTTCATGTTAAAACAGCTTGTGTCCCAGACATAGGATGTTGCTCCTGAAAGACTGGTCTTGAGGAGGACACATCTTTACTGATGTTTGAAGACCAGTGAACCTCCATTGCAAGGAACTCTGGATAACATCAGCTCCTGTAAAACTTGACGGTGGAGCCCTGGAGTTCAAACGCATGCACACGCCGTACATCACCACCAGCAAAATATTTATTTGTAAATCTGCAAAATCTGAGATTTAGGTTGACAGTCTTTGTGCCAAGTTGCATTTTAATGAAAGTAAAAATGAACAAAATAATAAATGCAACCCCCCCTCACCCCCCCACCCGAAAACCACCATGGAGGAGAGTTAATGGAAACCCTGACACTTAACTGTAACTGCACTTCCAGGCGCCACTGTAATAATGGAGTAGTAAACCTTGTCCTGATAAAAGCTGTTCTGAAAGCAACAGCATTTATTGTACCTCCTGTGCTATTTGCAGAGTAGAACTGAAAAGTAGTTTGTTTTGCCTGGAATGAACTACTTTATGAATTTTAATGTACGATGTAATATTAAAAGCTAAACCAGGATTAAAGAAGATTTTTGTTCCCGAGCTAAAACAGTACTTATGAGAATGTGTTTTAAAATACTTTTTTGTTTCAGTTTCGATGGGGAAGAAATGAGCTTCCATGTTTGTGAAAAACTCTTCAAATTGGTTATTCCTTCTATAACAACCTGTCCTTTTTTTAGTAAAATTGAAATAATCCAGAGCTTCTTGCTACTCTAGTTGGTCTTATTGTATGAGAAGATATATACCTGGGCAGGCCAGGAGGGGATGGATGTGGTTTTGGGGGGTTTGTTTTTGTTTTTTTTTCCCCAAGTCTTTCTAAGAGACCAAATTTCTTGGTGATAGGAAGATGGCCAAATGAGTTTCTGGTTCTCAGTGTGTTATGTTTGTAAAATAATGCTCCCCTGTTCAGTTAGTGTTTGCAAAATTTGGTTACTGTGAAAAAAAAAAAAAAAATTAGCTGATCTGTGGCACAGAAAATGTGGCTATAAGTGTGGGTGGGGTGAGAGGTTGTGCTTAAGTGTGGATGAGATGAGAGATTATGTTTTGGTTTGTTTTTCTCTCCAAAATTAATACTTTTTCCACCTCCCCTCCCAAGTCCTGAAGTTGCACTGTTGGGGGCTTTTTTGTTTTCTGTTGGGTTTTTTTTGAGGAGGAGGGTGTTTTTTCAACCCAGCTTCAAAGAGCCTCTGCCTTGAGCTCAATTCTAAATTCAACACAACAGCCTAGATGCTCGCTACGTATAAATTATGAAACAGTTTTATGTATGGATATTCTCCAAGAGGTTAATTAGCATTATTGCATGGAACTCACTAGACCAGAGCAGACCAATGGTCCATCTAGTCCAGCCACAGTCTATACCTGTTCTGTGAAGAGAAATTGTTAAGAGGTGGGGGAAGAATTTTTATACTTGGCCAATGATGTAAATTGGGGAGGGAGAGGAAATGGCTATGAGCAACATCTCTTGGTAATCCCCAAAGCGATGATTTTATGACCTTAAGACTTTAATTCTCCTGAAGCTCTTTAGGCTAATATGGCATTTTGATACCAATATTAGTGTTTTCTGTTGTTCAATTCCTAATTCAATATCAACAGAAGGCAATAGGAGTTGTCTTTTTTTTTCCTTTTTTTAACTTCAGTGACATTAGATGCTGTTAAGCTTGTGGTACCTGTGTAAAGATAGATGTGATTTGCCAACCAGAAAGAGGATTTTCAGTCATTCCTCTGTGTTAAGTGCATATCCATATTAAGTTGGGCATTGAAAAGTGTGGACTAAGATGCAAAGTTTAAATTGTCTCCAATGTCGTTTGTTAGTCTTGAGTTTTGGTGATCTGAGTGATCACAGCTTAATGAAGTGGTCTATGAAGTGCTGCTACAACATGAAGCTGTCTTTTGAAGCTGAGTAGCAATCAAAAAGGCAGTGTGCTTACAGAAAAGAGGCACAAGAGCAAAGTGTTTCCTTCCCAAAAGGTACTGTGGACTTGTGTATACTAGCTGAATACCTGCATCATCTGGTCCTCCCCTCAGGACCCTCAAAGATTAGTTACAAGTTAGAAATATTTCTTTGGGAAGGGACTGAAATAATTTTGCCAAAATTTAAACTCGTGTTCCAAGAAGGTGCGTTGACAAAGCCATCACTTTTTTCATTTTCCAATTTAGCTTAGCCTGATTTTTACATGCAAGCAGAGAAGCCTGTCTCCAGTTGTGTATTTAAGATTCCCATTGGTTGTCAGTTATCTTTTAGTGAATCCTTTTCATTTAAAGGTTATAAAATTGCTGCTGATTTTGTAATTTTCAAATGATTTCACTGTATGGTGTTCAGGAGATGCACCTGCTCTTGTGGCCCCATGCTGATTTGCCCAGTGTGAGGCATGCATTTTCCAATTCTGTGATGGGAAGAAAGATGGTTCATGGTGCTGCTCCTCAGGCTGTCCATTGCCAGGTCTTTCAAATGTTTCTGAGAAGCTGTTGGCCCAGGCTTGGCCATCCTCTACTGCAGTGTCACCTGTAGAATGTCCCACTGCAGAAAAGGAAATGCCTCACACTCCAGGTCACAGCTGCAAAGTACCAGTTGTTTTCAGATGAAAGCAAATCACATGATAAACTGTATGCCACATTCTGGGATTTTTCTCTATTTGTCCACATAATGGACATGTGTTAGCACAGCTCCTGAAAAGCCTGATAGACAAATCAGGCTCAGCAAGTGGCATGCACTCCCAGTTTCTGGGTTAGATTATTTTGTCTTAAAAGCACTATGGAGGATAGTTAACACAAATTGAGCCTGACATTTCTAGGAAAAAATGGCCTGATGATTTGCCTAAGTACGTCTCTCACCCAAACCCTTTGACTCTCGTATCATGAGACCTGTGACATATGAAAGCTCATAGAGAGTGAGATTAGAAGATGAATTATCCTGTTGTCATGATTTCCCTTTGAACCTCGAGGGACTTCAGAGCACAAGAAGGTGCTGACTTGCACTGATTAAACTGATAGTGAAAGTGTGGTTTTAGATGCATAATTAAGTGAAAGCTGAATCACCCCCTGGAAATGCCAAACTGTGTCCATTAGATTTAGAGGTAGCCGGAATGACTAACTTAGACTAGATGTGTAACTTCTGAATGGCTAAATTAATTCAGCTCTCAACAACCTCGGTTTGTACCACTAGGTTTGAATAAATATCTAAAGGTTTGATTTTTGCATCATCACTTTGTGGTTTCTTGGCAGAAATCCAGTCTTTCCTTTCCTCTGGTCCGCTTTAGGATTAATGATCCAGTAGGTCCGCTAATCTTGGGCAAGTGTTGCAAGACTAGCTGCTTAAGAAAAATGTTTTCAGTAACTATTGAGAATTGTAGGATAAGCTGAATACCTGCTGATTTTTTTATACCTCTCAACTGGTATGACAGAAACTGCACTGTAACCTTGGTGGGATGATTCTTGATCTTGAAACATACTTCCATCATATCCAGAGGATGAAGGATAGTCTTCTGCACATCATGTTACTACAGATGTATTTTTTTGTTTGTTTTCCTTAATGCTGCAGATGCAGCATAGAGTTGATAGTGTAATCATTCTGCCTTGTTTTCCTGTGGGTTTTTTTTTTTTTTTAACCTGAACTGCAAGAAGAATGAATATTTGATGTAAGTTTGTGAAATACAACTAGAATTAATAGTTTTAAAAAGCCCTGTCTTGATTTCATGAATGGTTAAAATATGCGTTTTTCTAAATTATTACTTTCTTAAAAGCAGCTTAAGAATTAAACTGATAATATTTTAGAAAGTTAAATCTAAACTCACAACTTTTCTACATTGTCATGCATTGTTGTGTACTGGACACAAGGCATGAATCAAGATATATCTGTCAGTTTTTTATTTCATGACATGGTTACAATTTTGACTTAATTTGTATGAGGCAAAGAAATCATGTAAGGATTCACAAGTGTCTTCAAGAATGTTTGACAGGTTTCCACTTAGTTTGTTTTATGAAATTGAAATTCACAATGGTCAGCTAATGATAACTCGAATTTCAGATGCACTCACCTTTTGCAATGTGCTGAATTTTCTTGTTTCCCAGTTACCTGAACCATGGATAACTTAAAATGTTAAGTTTCTGAAAAGCTGAAAGGTATCAGAGCAAGACTGAATAAAAGGAATAAAATGGAAAGGGAAAACACTTGGGG